ATTGGCGCCAACTGGTTTACTGATACTTTATAGATAATCAACAAGTTTCATCCTTTTCCAGATAAAAGTTTGTTTGCCAGGGGGTTATGATCCTCTCTATAGCCAGATCCTCACCACCTCGTATGTGACCCACCAATCTCTCCAGATGTTGATGAATGGATTTCAGTCCAGATGTTCTTCCAAAAAGTACATGGTCTTAAAGTCAGTTTTCTGGGAGTTATCCTGGATAATGGGAAACAGCAGGTGGAGGAAGTTCTCACAATCTGACCGCCAAAAATATGTCATTGTTAATATCTGCAATTATTATAAAGGAGTGTTAATAAACCACAGATCTAAAATCAAGGATGCCCTATTAGAAAGTGGAATCAAGGATTTTTTTACAAGTTGGGAATCCAGAAGAAACACTGAAGTGTGATGACCATTAGACCATTAGAAGACTTAAACCATGCAAGAGGAATAATGTTTAAAATCACACTGATACCGACACGTCACAGCATATCTGCTGCTAACTCACTGACTTTCTGAGACTGTTCATTACTTCGAACTGTTTCTGGATTTCTATCATTAATTACCTCCACCTATACATGGATTAATTAGGTTGTATATGCTGCAAAATACTGTATGAAGTCAAATTGTCCATTCGTACCACATCATTAATGCTACATTCCCTGTCAATTGAAAGATTTGTGTCTTTACCCAGTTAATCATTTGACTTTGATTCACCGGCTCATAACTGTCTCATAAATAAAGGAGCACCTCCGCTCCCATTAGGAAAAACAATCAGGCCAACTTTCCTAAAGGTTTCAGAAGTCCTTAACAGTGAGATGTTAACATGGACAACTCGAGCCCTGGTCTGTTTCATTCATCAAAGTATGAGATTTATTTTTACGAGCACTTGGAGGTGGAGCACGAGGGACTGTGTCTCTGAGACTGATGTAGTTATAGGGAGGATATGACAGCAAAGAGAACATTCAAGAGTTTAAAGTTCCTCCCACAACCGTTAATAAAGGCATTTATGACTGCGTATTAGAGCCATTGTAGGTTAAAAATAAAAAAGATTATTGAGTAAAAGACAATTTATGGAAGCAAAACCCCCAAACCTCCAATACTCTGAGGTTAAAGTCTCAGATTTATGAGTTTGAGCATCAGCAAGTACAACATACTGACAGATTTAAGGGTATCACTGGTTACGTCTGCACACAATTCAAATGAGATTTATACTTTTCTCTGAGTAACCTCTAATTTCAGGTTTGCCTGTTGGTCTGCTCGACTCTCTTGTCCACCACACAATACACTTCTCCATAACCAGCTTCACTCAGCCTCCTGCCTCGTCAGTCTGCCAGCTCTGTCTCGACTGACCCGTCCTCCAGCCCGGCACACAGCTCAGCCTAGTTTGGCGCCGTCCTGCAAACCACCACTCGGTCTTTCCCCTCAGCCTTCCCCTGCTTGAACATCAACATCATTATCTCCCCAATAAATCTTCACTTCATCACTTGTAGCTGTGTTCTATATATAGTATAGTATTTCCATAGGTGAACCACAGCAGATAGTTCCATGACAAAAAAAAAATTCTGCCAAATATTAATCTTTATTAACATGGCGTTTTGCTGCCATATTGAACAAAAAGGTTCTGAGGATAAAAAAGTAAATTAAAAAAAATATATATATATATATATATATATAAATCAAATATAGCATGTTAGCCATAAGTAGTAGTTTTTTCATCACATGCTCCCAAAATATGTTATTATTTATCAAAGCATTTCATTTGGAGCAAAATAATTCTGGTGTTTTTCCAATTTCAAAGAATCAGGGACTTTGCAGTTAACTGAGAGCTTAATTAATTTATGGCCCTGCGCTCACTCACTCACTTACTCACTTACTTACTCTCCATGTGACCATGCAATTAGATCTTGGCCAGTATTGATCGCTGCTTTAGTTCAAAACAAATATGTCCTGCTCAGCAGAACCAATGGACTGTTGGACCGTGTACTGTACAAACTCAGTGTTTTTATTCCTTTTGTTTGCTTTGAGCCCACAATTAGCTCATTACCACTTTGTTTCCAAATGACACAGCTGAAAAGCTTCAGAGGAAATAAAAAAAGAAACAGTGTGAGGTGTTGATTCATCTAATGCTTTGGGCTTGTGTTGGAGTTGCTCCGTGTTAAAGGGTCACTGTTTTATTCAGCCTGCTCATCTCCAGAGTGGCTCGTCTTTGTTGGGTGTTGGGAAGTGTTTGCCCGTCTACAAAGATGCCACTTTATTAGAAAACTACCCGGGAGGGGGGGGGGAGAGTGGTGGCATTCAGGTTACCAATGGAGTAACACTGTGGATTGTTTCACTGAGAGATCCTGCTCAAACAAGACAGTTGGACACCTTTTCATCTGTCTGCACCCCGGACAATATGAACTCATGCTTTGAGGCGGATGTGTTTGTTTCTGCACCGTGTGCGGCTGCATGGCAGGATTAGACACCATGAGAAACAACGAAAAACGCTTCCAAGAACAGGCTAACAGTGTCTTTGTTCAACCCAATTCTTTGTTCTTGGGAGGCCCCTCTCATGGAAATAAAGCACTGTGTCCATTCAGCCGACGTCCCCCTCCACTCCACATACACACCTCAGCACTTCTTTCATGCAGTTATTATCTGTAATTGCCTTCACGCTCATGATTTTATTGATAATGAGTTTCCTGGGCATTAGGTGTAATTTCATGCTGTAAGACTCTGTGTGTGATGACCTCTGTGGGAGTTAATAAAGGAATTAGAGGCGATTGGGCCGATAGAGGGCTTAATTGTGGAGACCAAAGGGCCACCACAGTCTGGGCTATCATAGCAAGTGGTGTTTCTGCTCTGCGACAAGGGCCCTATAGATCCATCAATGCAAATACAGCGCTGATGTTCCCCGGCGAGCACAGGCTCACCATGAAATGTAATTAGGCGGCGATCTATTATGTAATCAAGCCGCATGAGAGTCTTTTTGTGTTTTGCCACAGGCACCGGAGCCATTAGATGAAACAGCTGGCCACTTGACTACAGAGCCTCCCCATCGTTCATTTAGTGACACCTCAGTGGACTTGCACAAACAAAACATGACGCTGCTTTTTATTTCCGTGTCACAGTGTTTTTATTTTGTGCCATTATGCAGGCCTGAGACCTGGCACGGAGTACGGGATGGGTGTCACAGCGGTGAAGGATGAGCGGGAGAGTCTGCCCACGACCACCAACGCAGTGACTGGTGAGATGCTTTCACATACTCAGTACTCATATGTGTGTGTGCATGTATATATCCACCTATACACTCTGTGTATACACCTACACATGCATGTAAATGTAAATTTAATGATTATTTAGACGGATGATATAGCATTCTGTCGCACAATTGCAGCATCTTTTAACAAGCTTCATCCAAACTGTGCAACTCAGCATTGCAGTGAGTGTATTATCCTGGCAGCACTGACAGCTACAGCTGAGCCCTGATTTATTTTCACAATTTTGGCTTTTTTTATTCTCTCAAAAAAGTGCACAGGAGAATGGCTTCAGGTTTTATTGTAGAACTGCTCCGGCATCCTCTGCAAAGCCTTATCATTGTTTAGTCATATTTAAATGACCAAAGGTGGATTTCTATTTGACTGCTCAGAAAGAAAGCCACACATTTGAAATAAATTAGTTCATATGGAGCTCACTGGTATTTTTCCGGTAGACACACTTTGACATATTAGGTGTTGATGCCGTCACATTTTAAACAGGACATGATTAGTGGTAGAGACTCAGGAGGTAGAGCAGGTCTTCCATGTGCCAGAAGGTTGGTGGTTTGATCACTGGTTCCTTCAGTCTGCGTGCCCTTGGGCAAGAAACTGAATACTTTTTGATTCGGACAGCTGTTCAGTCAGAGGTCAAAATTATAGTGTGTATGAATGAGTGAATGTGGCTGGGGCTATAAAGCACTTTATGGTGGTTAACACTACACAAACCTTATATAAATGCAGTCCATTAACCATATTTCATAATGATGTGTCAGAGTAATACATTCCATTTGGTGTGTGAGAATTCCTTTCACATCTGGTCCAAGCACCCCACTGTTAAATGCATAGTCCAGGCACAGACACAGCTAGCTTTTACCTGGTGCAGCAAAAATGTTCAACTTTGACCGAGCCGATGTGAAAGTTTCTCCAAGAGAAACACAGATGCACAGTGTTTGGACACAGAGAAGTTCCAGGATGTTTGGACATTGTTTCTAGTCAATCACCACACATCAGGCTACAAACAGCAGCATCACTCTACATGTGTATTTATAACCCACATCAGAAAAGTGATTTCAGAAACGTAAAGTGACCTGTACCCACATGCATGTCTTTAACATCGTGCTTTGATGCATGACCTCACAGCGGATCTCGTCATTCTGAGTAAGAGTTTTCAAAAGCAGCAGCTGTGTCGAAATGAATGATCTATTAATGGAAAGAGTCCTCTTGTCTTCTTCACACTATTCTAGTCTGGATTCAATCTAAAATTCTTCAGCACACAGTCTTTCATTTTCTTAATATTTTCAATAATTAAACATTGAGTTTTCGATTTTCTTTAAAATCAAACTCTTTTTCCAGTTACTTTATGTTTAGTTATTCAGTATGAAATAGGTTGACTCCCTTTCTTTTAATGTGCAGCCTCTGTCTTTTGCTGCCCCAACTAATTTACCAGTAGTTCATCTCTTGTTTTAGAGAAAAGGTGAAAACAGCTTTATACAATGTTGAAATTCATGTACATAGGTCCAATGGCTTTAAGCAGGTTTGTCTTGGGGATGTTGCTTTGTCATATTGAATCTTAAACTCTCCTCTCCCCCTCTCATAAGCCCTGGATGCTCCCAAGGACCTGACTGTGACAGAGGTGACGGAGACCACGATTATGCTGGAGTGGAAGCGCCCGCTGGCCAAACTAGACTCCTACAGACTGGTCCACGTCTCGGCTGACGGCCACAGGGCTGAGGAGGTGGTCCCAGGCAGCTCTGAGTCTCACACCCTGAGGGGCCTGACACCTGGCATGCTCTACACCGTCAGCATCATCGCTGAGCGCGGCCGCAGGACCAGTGCTCCGGCAACCATCTCTGCGCCCACAGGTCAGCACTGAAAACACCCACACACCTTCCACTGTTAAAAGCAATTTTACTGATTGAGTGCTAGTGCCTTGCTTGACATTTATAGAGTGAGAAAACATACACACAGTAAAACATCTCAGATAAGAATTCTATTAGAAGCTATTTTGCACAATCTCAACACCTCCCTCATTTTAGAAGATTGAGTCATCTAAACTACAAAACCTGTTATATTTTCTCATTTACCTGAAGTGGTAGTCATGGCGATAGCTTAAACACTGTCCTGGTTACTTTTGCCCAAAGTCATGTTTTCTATGAGAACTGAGAGTGTTTTTATCTAGAGCACTTTGTAGAAAGAGAGGCTGCAGTTTGAATGTTTTAGAGCTGCACTAATATCTTCACATGAGTCAGATTACTACACACAACCAGAGAGGTGGTAAAACTCTGCCTTTGACTGTATTAGGAGCTAAGCTGAGAGTTGTCATGTGGGATATTCAGTATCTGTGAAAAGTGTCAGAGGTGGAGGATCCCTGAATGCAGCTCACTGTTTCCATGAGCCATGAGAATATGAGAATGATGATTTTTTTTTTTTTTTATCCTTCAGTGCCGCAGCCAAACTGAAGCAATGAATTGGAGTCATTGTTAGCCGCTGAATGTTGGTCACTCTGTCTCTACCTAACACCCCCCTCCCCACCCCACCACCCTTCAAGGCTCATTTGTAGCATGTGGGATTATTTTTTCTAAAACCTAAAACAAGAAACGACAAATGAGGAGATTGTGGCACATTTTCTTTGCTGCGGTCGGTGAGCCTCCAAGCCAAACATTTCACGAGTAAATCTTCCGGTTATGTAACGAGTGCCCATTAAACGCACAGCTCCAGGCAAGAATCGATACGGCGCGGGGAAAAAGTTGGTGGGCTTGGGAATAACTGTCTTTTGTTGCATTTTTGTGGATCTGCCAAGAAGAATACAGACTTCTGCCGTGTATGCATGTGTGTGTGTGTGTGTGTGTGTGTGTAAGTGTGGGTGGGTGAGTGAGTGCATGCATGCACGTGCCTATTCTTTTTGTCCACTTGTCGGTGCACTCATGTGTGGCACGTATGATTGAGAGAATGATAGATATTGAGTGAATCTTTGGGTGTGTCTGTGTGTGTGTGTGTGTGTGTGTGTGTGTGTGTGTGTGTAGGGGGTGGTGCAGTTGGAGGCTGGGGGTTTGTATGGACATGTGTGCACCCTCCAAAATGTTCATTCATGTGATAATTGTTGGCGTAAGCCCTGCTCCCCTCTGGTTTTGTGCGATTTGACCACGATGAACTGTGGGTCTGTCAGATAAAAGGCCACATGCTGGGACTCCTGTTAAAACATTGTCTTGGAAAATCAGCAGCCCTCTAATCCACAGCCTGGCCGATCTGCAGCCGTTATCATCTCCAGACATGAAGCGCAAACACAGCTCACACTGGTTTTTACAGGAGGGATTGAAGGAAAGAGGAGGGGCGGACGAGGTGAGATGAGGTTTGGAGCAGAAGCTGGGGGTTCTTCTTGTGCCTGAAAATCCTTGAAGCGATTACGAGAATTTGGTTCTGAGTGTTTCAGAAGAGCTAAAATGTGACCTGCACAAAACACCACTGACGTCTTAAAATGTGATGATCACAGGAGGCACAAATGTTAAATTGAGCTTTTATTACCATCATTGTGAGGACTGGTTGTGATGATCTCACTACATATGATGAGAGTGCATGTGCAAAGAAAAACAATGAACAGAAAGCATGAAGGAAGAAAGATCACTGTCCTGCATGCACTGACGTGATCTGTGCTGCACATGTAGCTATCAAATGGCGGATATCACCATGACAAAGTGATATGAGATCATTTGATTGAATCATGAACACACATCTTCAGCTGCATGTGACAACATCAACTGAAGCCGAGCTTAAAGAGCTGGTTTCATTGAGTGGTATCTCGCCATGTGGACAGGTTCAAAGAGATCCGTGTCTGAGATCTCTGTGTTTGCAATACATCAATACAATGAAGATGAGTGAATCCTATTTGTGTTGAGGTGCTTACAATGCTGAAAAAAGACTATTAGAAAATTGAAATGCAGAATATCTTTTCAGAAACAGTGACCCTCTAAAATGTTGTCCCTGTGAAAATGTTGGTTCAAAGTGAGGTCCTCTTTTTTTTAATTATTGTAAGCACCACAAATTAAGTATTATTACATCCACTGAAGAGAGGCACATTTTTAAAGCTTGTCCACTAAAACCAAAAATAACATGGCTAGATACCACTGGGTAAGAGAGACAGATGCCTTTTTACAGATTCAGTTTGTAGGATTTAGCAGCATCCAGCAGCGAGGTTGCTGAATGTAACCAACTGAATCTCCCTCCACCTTCCAGCCATACAGCAGAACCTATGTCTGCCGATAAGCAATGTAAAAGCGTGAAAGCCTTCCCTAGAAGCATTATGTGGTTTGGTTATTCTGCTACTGTAGAAACACGGCTCTTCAACATGGCAGGGCTCATTCTAACCAGAACACAATTATTCTTAGATTCAGGTGATTATGCACCATGGATATGATATTTCATGTCTGCCTTAATCCTTCACACTGGTCCTTCAACTGACTCTTAAAAGTTGAGAAATGGCCTAACATTAAGTCAGAACATATTTTCTCACTTGAGTTAACATTAATCTAATTTTAAATTACTTTTATAAAGATACTAAACCAAGAATAGCTATCTTTTCCCAAGTCCTATTGCCTGGGAGAAAACAATCGTCTTTATTTTTTATTTGGCTTTAAATCATTTTATGTAGCATTTAGAAACAGTTTAGAGACATTTAATAAATAATTTATAATGCACCATACAGTAATGTAGAGGTACACAGCTAAAGGACATGTTTATTAATGTACAGCATTTATGAATAGTTATATATAATTATTCATAAATACTGTACATATACATATATAATTTTGTTTGTAGAGCATTTTGTTAGTAGAGCAGCCTCCACTTACATTACTATAAATGTATCTGCTTGCAACTAAATGTGTGTTAGAAACTATTAATTCAATCTTTAAAATTATCTTCAAAATGCTCACTCAAAGGTTTTGACCAGTTTATATATATTAAAATGGTCAGAGCAACTTTATTGCAACTTCAGGGGAGAAGTTTGCAGCTATGATCAAAGTGCTGACTCAAATGTTGCCCACACTAAAGGTTCTAGAAACTAATCAGACACATGGTGCAGTAAATCCATCGTCCTTGTCCATGTGAGCTCTCAATGATCAGCTGATTCCAGCAAACCCACCCCCGCCCCTCCAGCGCACTAGCCCCAACCCATCACATTCCTATTGTCTACATCCATTTGCTCTCCACTCTTCCACACGGCGAAAAGAGGATAATGGGAGCCTTGATGTTTACCTGGGCCATCTATCTCTGTCTTTTTCTAATCTACTCTGTCTATGCTCGCACACACAATGGACTCCAATTATAGGCAGCAGCACGTGGCCGTGCATGGCCTTCCCATGGGTTTGAAGTGGACGGCGTACTTTTGCCATTCTGGCCGGGCTACGCTGCACCTTCAAACATTAATGGCTAGTACACAGCCATTAATGCACACAAACTGCATCAGCATGTCTGCTTGCCGATCTTTCAGTCTTTCCACTTATATGGTAATTTAGAGGAGATGGCCATAGGCAGCCATTGAAAATGATGATTGTTCTCGCTGGCCTTTTGTAGTGTAAATAAAGCAATATTTACACTCAGTACAAAGTATAGGTCTTTTTTTTTCTTTTTTACCTCTGGACAGCAACCTTCAATGATTGAAATACAAAGGAGAGATCATCTTTTTGCTGTTGACATTTTCATGGAGGATTCATCCACTGCAAGTCTCTTTTGTTTCATATGTTTCACAATTACTATCAACAAGAAATGAATACACCACAGGAATTTCATCAATCTGTGTATGTTTGTGTGTTGTAAGGTTAGACCAATATGCAGAAACAATTCTGGATTTTTATTTTCAAAATTGAAATCTGCAGTCTCCTCCAAAACATCCAGTATCATCTTTTTGATCTGTTTTGGTCTAACCTTTTTTGTCCCGACTGTATTTGTGTCCTGTCCCAGTCTGTAACGTCATGTTGATGTGTTTGTCATCACCCAGAGGAGGAGAAGCCTGTGGTGACCAATGTCACTGTCAGCGATGTGTCATGGGACAGCTTCCTCCTGTCCTGGTCTGCTGAGGATGGGAAGATTGAGGCCTTTCTGATCGAGGTTACTGATGCAGAAACGGGTGCTAAGTGGCAAAACCACACGGTGCCTGCTGATGCTCGCAGCCTCGCCATCTCTGGCCTCTCCCCTGCCACCTGGTACAGGGCCAATCTGTACGGGGTGTACAGGGGGACAATCTTAGATCCTGTTTTTGCAGACACCATCACAGGTATCAACGCCGTCATCGCTGGGGTCTCCCTCTTTCCTTTGCTTCCTTCTTCTTCTGCTCAGACAATAACTTAACCAGTGTTCTTTTTTCCATGTGGACTTTATTCTTTTGTTACTTGCAGTTGCAAAATGGTGTTGGTCTTCTTATAGAGCCCTGGTGTGGCTGTTCATCGCCAATTGGTGCTGTAGAGTCAGTTGTTCATATTTGCTTTCACACCATCAGATGCTAATTAGCACTGTTGACTTGCCCTTGCACTTTGAAAGAATAACAGTGTTAAGGAGTGGTGGAAGTGAAATAACTGAAGGTGAAGTACTAAACTGAGTCTGGCATTTATTGGCATGCAATCAGAAAACCCATAATATGATGAATCTGTGATTTACCTGTGGGGATGGAGGCTTCATTTGTTCATCCCCGTGGACATACACTGATCAACCACATTAAAACCGGTAACTGGTTAATTGTATTTTTGACTTAGACAAGCTATGAAACCATGGAAAATGATTGAAACTATAAAATAAGCTTTAAATCGCATCACTGATGGTTTGAATATATATGCAAAACAGGCCAAAAATACATTCAGTGTGTTTTAAAGCAGCCCCCATTCTCTCAGCACAAACTGTTTACTCTCAGCATTGGGAGCACCTTTCAAAATGGTCTATATAAGCGTTGCCACTACAGTGGAAGTTAATCTTCACAGAGTAAACAAAATATCCTTGCCATTCAGACAGTGTGCACAATCCAAATCCCCAAACAAAACCCCCTCATCAGCCATCCATCATGCATGTATCCCTTTGGGAAATAGGCTAATACTCCGAAGCAGCACGCACACAAAACCCAGTCTATTTGAGCCCTGCCACAAATCTGAGTCTGATCCACCTTTAAGCTGTCAGTCTGCCTCTTCACTCCGGCCTGGCACCAGCAGCACCTGGTCTGTTATGGGAACAGGCAAAAAGACATAAAAAAGGTCAGAGTGCTGTTTAACCGGGGCACAACAGGTGCTCTTGTTTACCTTCCTACTACTCCAATCATAGTCATTATCAGTGATTAACATGCTGTGAATTACAATGTGCCTAATAACAGGGCTGTGAGCAGGAAAACCAAAATCTGATAATGATGCCTTGTACTTGCCTCTAAGCACCTTCACAAACAAAGCGTAACTACAACAAAATACCTTCTGAGGTTCCTTATAAAACCTTTTTACCCAAACCAAAAGGTCAAAAATATCCAGTTTCATGGTGGTTGACAATATTTTTTCATGTCAGAATCTATGCGGACATTATCATTCAGCATTTCATTGATGAGGATCAGTCAAGTGGAAGCAAGATGGGAGGACTGACAGAGGAGAAAAAAAACCCTTAGGCGCTTTTGTCGCTTTGTGTGAGGGCTCTCTTCTGTATGCATGCCCAGTTCCCCCAAGCCTGGACCGCTCTTCATTCTCATGCTGCCATTGCCCCTGGGCTCTGGTGCTGGGGTGCCAGGGGCTTCTGGGGCCACGCAGAATATGGCATGCACTCAACATGGCCCATTGTCTGCATGCTAATGGATATGATTCAGCTTAACAATTTTCATTAGCATCACTTAATCCATAAACATTCTAACTTGTGAATACAAGTGTTGACTAATTTGATTGTGTTATGCATGGTAGTCATCCTCGTTCTGCTGGAGGACGATGTTGCAGGGAAAATAAAGTTCTCTGCTGAAAACAGGTTCATTTGAGAGAGGAGGGATATGGGGAACAAGGGAAGAAGTGGTGCTGGTGGGAGGGTGAAATCAGAAGCAGACGAGCACATGTTAGCTGATGGATGTGGCCCTCCCTCTCTTCCACTGACCAGCTAAAGCTGCCCGGCGGCTAATGAAGAGTGACAGCTCCCTGGGATTTGTCTGCTCTGCTTCTCATTTCCACTGCTTCTTCTCACATCAAATGCCTCATGCATTTCCCCTCACAATGAAAAAAGGGGTTTCAGGCTAGTTCAAGGACCCCTGAGACCCTCACATTTCGTGTAGCGTTTTAATGAGCAGTGACGCTGGGCTTTATTGAGGCTTTCCTGAGCCCCCTTATATCTACTTCTATCGAGGCTGCTTTAAAAGCTCTGTCCGATCCATGCATCCATCTGTGCCGCTACCGGAAGTTTCTCAGAGTAATTAGCAGAAACAGACTCATCCTCTGGAGAAACAGAGCTTTTTCTGCAGTCGCTGTAGGCTCCTGCTGCCTCTCAGCCTCTCTTCCTATCACTGCCATTATTAGCTGCGTCTAATGACTGCTTAATACTAGCTTTTACAGCACCACATGCACACGCTGCCATAGTTGTCTGTACTGAACTGTTGTTGGGTACTTCTCGGAAAGCAGGTGTTGTTTGACAAAACCTCTTCACAAAATTGCTCAAGAATGTGATCAGGCTTTTTTCAAAGAATTTCAAGCTGTACCCTAAAATATTAGAGTAGTTAATGGTGCTAACATCTGTTGAACAAACCGTCCTGATAGCTCTAAGCTGACTACATAAGCAGTTTAGACAGATGCTTTTTTTTGACTAAAATAACTTCAATAATATCTTTATCAGCCCTGCTAGACAAAACAATATAGACCAGCATAATGGATGGCTCAGAAAGCTATTGTGATTGATTTGTGCTACCTGACCTACTTGAGTGACGACAATGGAGACACGTACAGTAGCCTCAGACTTTTTAAAAGACTTTAAAAACACTGCTAGCAACATTTAGGTTTGAAAACCCTGGGGTTTTCGGTTTTCGGTTTTAGAACGGGGCGATACTTTTAGAAATCATGATGCAGACTAGAGTGCAGCTCAGGCCACAATTTTCTGTCCAAACTCATCCAAGCCCAAGAGTAAGTTGATCAAGCTTGAGCCATACCTGATGGGCATTACATTTTGTATCCAAATCCGACCCAAGCCCACCTGATTCCTGTTTACACCAGCATGTGCTGTCATGTGATATGGGTTTTCAGGTTTAAAAAAAAAAAACATATTAGTTTGTACGCAACCTTAACTCTTAATTCTCCCAAATGTTTCTCACGTCACTCCTCGGATTTCAATTCAGCACAGATCGCCAGTTTTGCGAACAATAGCCAAGCACACTGCTTGACACACATAGAAACACTCCCTCTGAGAACAAGGCACAGTCTGTGGCCCATATACCATGGCTTATTAAATCAAAAGGTTTATTAACATTAATATTACATTCTCATCAAGTTTCAAAAGAAAATGCGGCAGCTCCTTAAAGTTCCTAAAAATATATTGTGGTCACATCCATGACCTTGACTGAATGAGCTGTCCAATATTTAATCACATTATTAACATTACTAACCATGGTGGCTTTATAATCCATTTCTCTTGGTCTGTAATAGACTCTTACTTTGCTCACAACTTACCCTCTGTTGCCTCATGTTCATTTCTTCCTTCTTTATTTTCCACAAAATCAGGCTGTTTATTTGTTGACTGATGCTGAACCACGTAACCAATGCTGGCATTTGCACATAGACTGCTACTCTCTCTTTGACTGCCATGTTCCTCAAATGTCAAAGCATTCTTAAGTTCCACAGAGGAGGAAAACTGACTTTCCCCTATCACTCAGAGGACGAACCGGAGGTGCAGGCTCTCCTAGTGTCCGACGTCACCCCTGACAGCTTTAGGCTGGCCTGGATGGCTGAAGAGGACGCCTTCGACACCTTTGTCATAATGGTCAGCCAGGCTGAGGGCCCAGCCCAACCGAGAGAACTGGTGCTGGGCAGCGAAGAGCAAAGCGCTGCAATGACAGAGCTCACTGAGGACACAGAGTACAAAATTGAAATCTTTGGGCTTGTTCTGGGAAGACGCTCCAAGTCTGTATTCGAGTGGGTGAGAACAGGTATACAGTGAAAGAGTGGACCTGAGAATTTAGAGCTGTGAACTGAAATCTGGACCGGTGTTGTCGGCATAACCAGTGGTGTCGGTGTCTTTTATGGTAACAGCATGAAAAGTCATTGTGTTCCAACATTTGTCTAAAAAGGTTTTGTGTCAATGGCAACACAGACTTTTTGATGATGATCAGAGCTGGAAACGTCGTGTGTCTTGTGTCAACAGCTACATGTCTCGATCTGTCTGTTAGTTCTCCTGAGTGGGCCTCAGCAACATGACAGTTTAAGAACTGCTGATCTCAAGACTGCTGCTGGATCAAAATCTGAATTATTGTAGTTTAATCTGCTTATGATGCAACCTATTACTGACTACTACCCCAGGGTGGTCTAAATCCTGTAATGAATATCCATGAATTGAATTTGAAAATTAGCGGCTTCAAAAATAAAAAGCCTAAAGAAAATTTGTAGCGGTCAACCCCCACTCAGGACATTTACTTAGCTCTTTACTCTGCTCCTTTGGTTGTGTTGTCTTCGTTCAGTTGTCCTCCCAGATGTCATTGACTGCCTGGTCCCATGTGTCAGTGTCTCTCCTTTGTAAAGGAGGTGGGGGGGCAGTTGTCTATGTCACATAGGACGGGTGTCGCTGGCTGTGTCCCCTGTCCTCCCTGGGGGTAAGGCTTTACTCTTGGGTAGCACAGCGCATGTTTCACTTTTGTGTTTCCATGAAATGGGGGCAAGTTAATCCCCTCAGGTCTGTCACGCAAGATACTGTGGTTTGCTGTTAGCTGGAAAGGGTTTCTCCATGAGACCAGGCCTCCCCAGGCCCCCTTTGTCTGTCTACCTCACTCTCTTTTACACACTCGCTCTTTTGCTCTGTCCTAAAACGAGTGCCTTTCAGTGGTGGATCTGCCCTGGCTACAGTAACAGAATACGTGCGTGTGACCGTGTCTATGTCTTTTCTTGTCTGCTGCCGTTTTCCCATGAACAAATGATATTATAATATAAACATATATGCTGTGCATTCATTTAGATTAGTGCCACATATACTGTATGTTCTATTTTCCCTCTCCTGCCCATGATAAGAGGGTTATACACACATTGACTAAACCATCTGTTTTTGGTCTGTTTTTGCCCCCACCTGCTGTTTCTGTCTTGCTTGTGCCAGATCTGGGCTCACCCAAGGGCATCCGCTTCTCTGATGTCACCGACACATCCGCCACTGTTCACTGGGCAGTTCCAAGAGCTCGGGTGGACAGCTACAGGGTCACGTATGTGCCTGCTCATGGAGGTCAGTGTCCCCACATGTGGACAACAGTCAACCGACTAACATTGAAGATCTGGTGGCGTATTGCAGCTGTAACAAAGCTTAAAAAAAAACGAACAATGTCAAACAAATAGCATTAAGCATTCATTTTTGTAGTTGGTACATAAACGTAACAACAACATAAGATTTGGCTCAAACCTAGATCATTGCTGTTCCATCAATTTTATCGACCACGACCTGTAGGGCAACTTTTCTCTTTAATGAAAGACTGATTCTGCCCCCTAGTGACTCAATATGGCTATTGCTAATGTGTGAGGAACAGAGGTAAATGTAAACAGTCATCAGAAAACAATGTGATGATGATGATGATGAAGAAGATGATTATTCGTATTAATCCTCATCATTACATTCATTAACTTTTCCCAATTTAATCAGAGTTATTATTATGTGATGCCGTCGATGGATTACTCCAAGGATTGTGATTTCACCCCTTCAGACTCAGCGTCCATTCTAATGAAAATGCAGTGTTTAAGTTTAGATCAGTCACTAACTAGTGGAAAGAGTTTCCTCCATAGTTTTCCTTTATAATTTGTGAATATGGTATGACACTTAAATATGAATTTATAGCCACGCAGATGACACTTCTTTAAGCACTTAAAATACGCTGAAGTCATCATAACCACAGATAATGTGATATAAAAAAGAGACTACACCAAAGTCCATAAGGATGTTGAAGAAGTCTTGTGTTGTCTCTGTCCATTGTTATGAGCATGCAAGGACATAAAGGGAAGTTACTACTTTACACAATAATGTAGCCTCCACTCTACATTCACTGTGGTGTGTGTGTGGTTTTGACTCCCAGGTAATGCTAAGACACTGACGGTGGGTAACTCAGAGTCTCACACCGTGCTGCCCAACCTGACACCCGGGGTCACCTATGAGGTCACTGTCGTCGCTGTCAAGGGTCAGAGGGAGAGTGAGCCTGGGTCAGACAGTGTCACCACAGGTACAGTAACACCCATGGAAAACCTGCACTATAACACACACACACTATTGCACTTCTATTTTAGTGATGATATTGTCCCCTCATCCTAACATTAACCATCAAAACTAAAGTCCTCACTGTGATCCATACCCTGACCCAAAAGACAATCCTCAAACAGCACATTGAAAGTGGGTCAGAAAGTGAGGACAGGCCAAAACTTTTCCAAAACGTGTCCTTACAGCTACATGTACACACACACACACACACACAC